CTATCGTTTTTGCCCACATTTCGCGAGGTTTTAATAGTTGTTTGTTGTCTTTCACGCTCCACAGACGAGAATTAACGTGTACAGCTTCCACATCTTTGAACAAATTGTCAACAGGCGAAAAAATATGTCGAAAATATCAAAACAACAAGGATTCACTGCAAATTCGCCAAATTGCAAAAAGCCGAAATATTTTTATAAAAACCAGGGGGGAGTGAAAACTGTGGCGGGCTCATAATTGAGCCTTGTTCAGTGGCAATTACCATGAATTTAGGGACCAGTAGTCATGGAAATGGCGTCATTTTTCATCAAAATCCGCCATGTTTTTGGCGACACTTCGTTGACTGAACGAAGTATAGGAGCAGGTCCTCCAGTTATTATACAGCTCAGTGATGACCACCCATCGTTGGTCACCCACGCCCGCGATATTTGATGAACTTTAGACTCCATGCTTTCGTTTTCCCCGGGTGTAAATGGCCGGGGGGAATTAGTACCCTCGCACGGCGCTTCAGCTGAGAGGATAATAAATTGCCATCCGCACCAAATAGACTAACCCTTTCCTAGAATCAAAGCAGGTAACTGTTGAAAATTTCTATAGTTGGTAAATCTGAGCATGAGACTTCCATCGTCATTCGTCAGCATCTCGAGTATTTCCATTAGACGATCAATATAATTTTCTGGAAAGTTCTCGGCAGTCGTTACTAGTTTGTCCATGGACCCCATAAGGTAATATCGTATCATCAACTCACTTAATATCATCACCAGGAGGGCATGTTTAGAACTAGCCGCTTGTAAAATAGCTTTCGCTTCTTCTAAACGCTTTACTGCTTCATCTTGCTCTCCAATGGCATGGCATATCTCACTTAGGGTATGAAGTCGGAATGCAACAGATGGGCATCCATCTATTGTTTTACTAAGTTTTCTGTCTACATCAACGGATTTGGTGCCGTATTCCTTAGCTTGCTTCAAATCACCAAGTTCTTGACAAACTAGTGCCAAATTACTGAGGATAGCCGAAGTGTTAGGGTGCACGTAATCTGGTCCGAAGATGTCATCTGTGACTTCTTTTGCATCTTGAAAATACGCGAGTGATTCTTTGAACTTTCCATCACTCCTTAGTGCAGCTCCAAGGTGTGCTAGCGTGTCAGCGATTGGGAGACGGTTTTTCCCGTGGTAGACAATTCTTGCTTGTCTTAAACCGTTTTCGAGGCTTTCTACCGCTTTACTCATTTGATGTTTTTGATAAAAGAGAAACCCCAATCTCATCCGAGCATTCACTTTAACTGAATGTAAAAAAAAAACACCAGTCAGTTCAATTTACTGTTTGACATGCGGAAAGACCTAATGGATAATTAAGTTGTTTAAATTAAACGGACAAGTAAAGAAAAATAAAGTAAAAGGTTTAAGATTAATATTCCAAAACAAACGGATTCAGAAGTCGTGCAGAATTGTCCTTAATTAAACTCTCAAGCTTTACCGATGCCATTGTATTTAAACACACGTATCTATTTAAATTATTTAGCCATTCTTATTCTTGATTTCATATTGCAATCGATCTCATCGTTTGGGCTATTTAACACCTAAAAAAATTCTTTCCATCTTACCTGGATGGGGCTTGTCGCCAAGTAGAATTTGAAGCAGCTCCAAACTTCGATTTAACAAAGAAAGGGCTTCATCATCCAAACTGCAAAGTCCGTATACATGGCCTGCAAACGCATAGATTTCCGCCAACTTAATGCTGAGATTACGATTACCAAATAGCTTGTGGCCAAGCTCTACCGCTCGTTTTATATATTTCACTGCATTTGCACGTTGATCAGATTCAGCGAACGACTCGGCCATGTAAAGATTTAGAGTAAGTACACTTCTGTCACGACCACTTGTTAACCTATTTTGCATTTTTTCCGCTTGTTGATAGATTTCAATGACTGATTTCATATCACCCTCCTTATGATAAGTTCTGCCAAGATTTATCATTAAATCATCACAGAGAGTGGGCATTTGGCCCAAGCCTTCGCCACGCAGTTCATCGAATTTCTTGATCGTTTCTTCCAACTTAATTCTAGCCT